CCCCAAAACCCCAAAACCCCAAAACCCCATTAAGATCTCATTCGACTAAATTTGTGGACAAAATTTTAAATAAATAAGTTATTCGAAGTTCATTTAATTATCTTGAGAATTAAGATTATATATCAAGTTTGATCTACACAACTAATAATTCGAACTCCTAAAAAATCTTAATATTATTATAATTCCCTAGTTCTCATTTTCATATCAATAATTTAATTTTTAGAACTTTAATTATGCTAGTAAGACACACATAGAAAGCAAACAAAATTCGAATTTTGTTAATTTTCTTTTCTTTTCTAACTTTATTTGTTCACTCATAAGTTTATCTGGATATCTAATGTAAGCGTATAATTCTCAGCTTCATATAGGTGATACTCCATACGAATACAAAGATGATCTCGGCTTATGTTGAAGTACGATTATTTTTCATAACATCGTTTAGAATGTTCTGGGGCAATTTACGGCTGCAAGACCTGCAATTATTTCTACATCGCTTCTTAACAATTTGTATAATGCTTGACTTGCTAAGAAGGGTTTTATCGATATTTGAATAATACAGAGGCTTATGCAGATATATATCCAACGACTATTAGTTTTTGTACACCTGATTGCTCACTTTGTAAATATATGACTTCTTGATAACTTAAAGCGAGATACAATATGGTTAATAACATTTACAATGGTTATTGTTGGAATTGCGGAGATCATTGTCAATCATGCAACCTTGATTATGGGTGCGAGACTTGCTTACCTGCTGGCTAGAGTTAAGGCTATGTTAACGCTCTCTATGATTACTCTGGAAAGAGTTTTTTAGAATGCACAAGTAAAACTTCGAACTTTTTTTAAGAATTCTTTAGGGTGCTCTAATTCTTAATGGTGCACTGAATGTCTCTCCTCAAATGTGAATACTTGCACCAACTGCCTTTCAACATTCAAAGACTATAGTACTCCTGCTAATGGAAACACATTCAGTTGCACAGCAAGGAGTGCAACGAGTATCTTAGAAAACTGTGCTACTGCAGTGTCTGGTAACTCTGATTAATGTGCATATTGTAATGACTTCTACATGGTTAATAGACTTAACTTTTGCACAAAATGCTCTGTATCTAATTGCTACTAATGTTCATCATCCCATACAGACTGTACCTTATGCTAATAAGGATACATTCCTAATAGTGGAGGTGCTTGTCAAGGTATTTTATACTTAATCATAATTATTTTAAAAATTCATAGACTGTAACTTCAACACTAGAGTCTACCGTTAATGTGCAAATTGCTAGCAATCGGGTTCCTAGATATCAACAGATGATTGCATAGCTTGTAGTAATGGATACAGACACAACAATGACTGTATCTCAGTATGCCCAATTGGATATTATGGAGTAAAAGTTTTTTCAACAAGAGGAATACTTTCATAGTCTTATTGTTCATGTTAGCCATTTTTATAATAAACAATAATTATAGCATGTGATGGATCCTGCAAAGAATGCATGGATGGAACTTCAAATGGATGCACAAAATGTTACTCTGGAACATATCTATCAAAAAGTGACAGAACCAAGTCTTATGGATAATGTCTTTCGAAAACTCTCTAATCATCAACTTAAACAATCTATGTAGCTGCTCCCACAACAAATACGTTTGATCCTACTACTCAAACAGGCACTATTGGAAATCCATTTAATGATATCCAGGATGCAGTAATGAGAATGTACGAACTTTGTGCTAATGTCTAAAAAACATGCGTTGTAACTATCTATCTCATGAATGGTGACCACTATCTTCTGAGAAGATACCGTAACTCGTATAGACCACTTTTATATGACAGCCATCAACAGAATATGGTTTTGACTATTCAGCCATTGTTTTGCTCTATAAGCTCTCACGCTAGTTGTGTCACAGATGGTGATTAAATAACCATATACAACAAGATAAGAGAAAGATTTCAACTGATAGTTAGCGGAGGATTAACCATGAAAAACATCATAATAAACAGCTTGGATTCTATAGTTGGTAATATACAATTCTAAGATATATCTTATAGACTATAGCACCAGTGACTCGTGTCTTTCTGGTTTATACTCATGCTGCTTATACGATTCTAGCACAGAAGAAATAACAGCTTACAATGGAGCAAGCAACTCAAATATTTGTAATTCAACTAAGATGTATATGTAAGTATTACTCTTAACTTAAAAATAAGGACTGAGCAATGTAACATAGCAGATGGAACCTATTTCATCAAATTTGACCTTTCAAGGAGTTCAGTGCTTGATACTTAACCCACTTTGCTAATTGAAGTAAATTAACACACATTTTGTGATCTATTAATTAATTTAGAACTGCTTATTTGAGAATTATATCTACAATTTAAATACTTTTATTGAAACTAGCAGTTATGGCGGACACATTATAATTAAATCTTCAAAATTTACAAGGTTTTCCACATGTGGGGCAGTTGTGAGAAATTTTAGGAACTATTTTCAGCCTAATCCTACAGGAACTTTGTATCTCAAGTACAATTATTAGATAAGATCAAATTCTCTTTAATATTCAGTTTATCAAAGAATGTACTAAGAAGAAAACCTTGCTTAATCTTGCACAAGTAATTGTGAAAGTTTGACTGTAGAACATTCTACATTCTCTTACTTTGGATTCAAAAATATATATGCAGATAGTCTAATTTATGTCAATCCTGGATTAGGACTTTAATATCATGGAAGAATATTCAATCTTTACAAATTTAGAGGGCCAATTTTGATTAAGAATAACTTGTTTGAAATGAATAAAATAGCTTTCAAAGATGGGTGTGATATTATGAAAGACTTTTATTAAAATGCTAATAAAACATATCAAGCTGACTCTGATATTTATCCAATATTTTCTGATACTATTTATTCAACAAAAAGATAATATCTTCAATTAAAGAACCTTATAACAATTAGAAAACAACAAAATAAGATCGAAATAATAGAAAATTCAATCTCAGCTAACTTTGTAATAAAAGGAGCTATTTACATTGAAGGAGATGATGAAAATCCAAATTATTCTACTCAAACTATCCTAATAAAGAACAATTACTTTTTAAGAGTGATGTCATTTTATAGTACATCTGCCATTCACATAAGAAGGTATGATCCAAACTATGCAACTTATACAATTGCTTCAAATTATGTCCCATGTGGTGGTGTGCTGATTAAAGGTAATGAATTTATAAATAATCACGGATGTCCTCGATATGGTGGAGGTTTAATAACTATTGAATGCTTGAATTAAAAATAGATAACCATTTTAGATATTGTAGATCCTATTAATGCTTCATCAAGCTAACCGGATGATAATGCTGAAATTTATAGATTTGATGATAAACCTTCTACTCTAGATAGCGATGAACCAGAGGTTAATGATATTGAACTTAATTCAAACATTTACAGCACTAATTTTGGTGGAGGAGGAGAGGGTCTTATAAATCTATGAGGAATATTAAAAATTTACATTAGTAATGAGAGTTTTGTATATAATGGAGAGAATCTAGCTGAAGTGCTTGAAAATTTTGCGAATTTTAATTATATAGACTAAGATGAAAAGGTAGTTTATTTAAAATCAAATGGCCCATCAAATTAATATCTTGATTACTTTAGTTTGGATGCTTTTAATTATGGATACTTAATTAATGATATTTCAAATAGATTTTTAGGAATGATTTATGTAGAGCATTCCTATTTCATGATAATTCGAACTACAACATTTAGTAATAATTTTGTGTTTGATGCTTTTTATGCCAATGATTAAGGCTCAATACTAACGCTTGATAATTACTTTGGCTATTTTGAAATTGTTGAGTCAAGTATTTCTGAATAATAAGGTATATATAACATTAAATTAATTAATATTTTTACAGCTTTTAAAAATACTTGGTTCGTAGTAGAAATATTAGAATATGATTTTTAAGATTATCTATACACTTATGGGTCTAAGGTACCACTAATTGGGTTTAGGGATGATCAAAGATTAACAGGAGTTATGATGTTCAACACTACATTTTATAATATAGTATTTGAAAATTGGTCTTAAAGTTAATTAGGAATGATCATTTAAAGTCTGTAAGTTTTACTCCTTTTTGAATTACCTTTTTTAGTGATAGCACAATGGCTAAGTTTTAAATGAATTTAGTAAAACTAGACAATATCTAGTGCTTTTGCTAATGTAACCATTCGCTTTTTGCTGTTGCTACTAAAACTACAACATTTTATAGCATGGACTTTAGAAATATTAATGATTTGGTCTTCTATAATTTTTATGATGGGCATTATCCACAATTATTTCAACTTTAGATCCATGGAGATAGCGATCCAGGAACTTTCGATCTACGTTTTTAGGATGCTTTTATAGAAAATTTGAGTGGAAATTATGGTGGATTATTTAACCTATCTCTGGTTAATCCTGAAGTAAAATTGATTCTAAGCAATGTATAAGTTATTGATACATAAACAAACGATGGTGGTTTAATTAATGTCATTAATGGAAATAATGGTATAATATAGATTGAAGATTCACATTTTGAAAATACTCAATAAGAATCTGGATAAGGTGGTATAATTACAGTTAATCTTGGATGGGACAAAAAATTAAGCAGGGAAAATAGTCTATCCAAAGTAATAGTATTGAGAACAACTTTCATTGACAATTATAATAAAGACATTTATCAGTAAACGAATGACGATGGCCTTGAATTAAAAGGTTACTTAGATACATTTTATACAAAAACAGGCTATCTCATGTTCATTAACTAAGATTATCCTATTAGTCTAGAAATATATAACAGCATCATTACTTAAGCAGATATAGATGAAGAATTGAGTGTGACAAACATATATTTGCTTGATCAAACAAATTAAGTCCTAAATAAACCCACACAATATGTTAATTATGGTACAGCTTTTGTAATAATATCTTAAACAGGTGAGGCATCTGTAAAATCTGATGAAAACTTATATTAAGGCTGCAAATATGGTCTTTATGGTTCAATTTTCTATATTGAGTCTTCCAATTCGTCATTTTTGGATTAACATTCTATCTATTCAAACAATGAGGGCATTTATGGAGGAGTAATGTATTGCTACAATTGTTATCAAATAACAAACTCTGGAAATACTATTGAAAATACTATTGGATATTACGGTGGAGCTATTTATCTAGAATATGCGAAAAGTGGTAAAACTTTGTAACTTGTTTTCTAAGATGTCATAGCAGTGTCAACTTTTTCAATTGATAACGGTGGATTTTTATACTATAGTGGGGAAGATATTCATCTAAATTTGATAATAAAAAACAGTAGTTTTTAAGACATGACCTCATCATTAAATAAGCTAGAAAGTAAGCTTGAGGGAACAGGAACTATATCCTAATTGAGTGGAGGTGGATCATTCTATATCAGTACCAAAACACTTAATTTAGAAATGGACTAAGTTACATCTGATTATTCATATACTTTAGGATACGGAGGTTTTATTCAAGTGGGAGTCTCATAAAATGTTGTCTTCAATATCCATGATTCGACATTTTAAAATGTTTATGGGTACTTAGGAGGAACAATTATGTATTTTCTTTCCAAGACAGGCTCAATTCAAGGAACATTCAAAAATAATATAGTCTAATGCAATACAGATGATGAAGAAAAAAGAGACGAAACGAGAGAATTGTTTATGGACTTCAGAAGTAATTATCCTGTTTACAAATATTATCATGCATTCTAATATTTAGGAGCAAACAGTTCCTTGGTTAATTCATTAAACAACACTATTTATGATTGCTACCCAGACTTTAAAAATGCTAAAGAGGATTCAGATTCATCTGCTTAGCAAGGAGGAGTTTACTTCCTAAATGAATAAGTTAAACTTTATGATTTTAATACCACGTATGAACGAAATGGAGCAATGAGAGGAGCTATATACTACTGTGATGGTTGCTCAATTGAGGCAGAAAATAATACCTATAATGAAACATATTGCTATTAAGGATGTATAGTTTATCAAGATTAAACTAAAACAAATACTTAAATAACTTTTGAAAATTGCTAATTTTCAGATACTTTGGTAAAATACAGCGGTGGTTTAGCAAAATTTGATATTAATACAGCAGTTTAAGGAGTTCAATTAATAATAAGAAACTCGGAGTGGGATATGATTATGGAAGATGTTAAGCTTTATCTAAAATCTTCTATTGGTAATAAATATGCTGCATTGATAGTAGAGTCTAGTAATCTCCCTGAGATAATAATAGAAAATAGTAAATTTCATTTAAGAGGTTTAGACATTGAAGACAATATTGAAGAAGTTGTTAAATTTGAGAATGTTTACTTAGGATTTACTATAAACTCAGCAACAAACGCTCTAATAAATAATAATTATTTCGAAGGTAATGAAAAAGGTTATGGTGAACATATACTACATACAATTGCCAATGAAGATTCAATCTATTCATTTGAAGGATTTTTTAGAATTCTAAATACAGATAATGTGACCATGGCAGACAATATTTTTTACAGTATCTTTGTCACTAATCTAGGAACATTGTATGTTGATACAGTTTAAAACTTCAGTGTTTTCAATACAAGTTTTTCGTCATGCTCTTCATTAAATGGTGGTGGAATGATAATTCAAAATACATTTGGAAATTTAACTTAGGTTACATTTTACGATGATAATGCCTAATATGGAGCAGCTTTTCAAATGCTAGATGAATCTCAAATTTTTGTAACAGACTCTATTTTCGATTATAATTGGGCATTTTAAGAAGGAGGAGCTGTAATGGTAAAGAGAGCAGTTCCTACCTATACAATAGATACAAAGTTAATAATGAGAAATTGCATATTCAATAGATCAAGATCAGTTACCTAAGGTGGTGCATTTAGAATTGAAGATAAATATCTGATCTTTGATATTTCAAATTCAGTCTTTTAAGATATTTACGCAGAATCTATTGATGGATACTCCTCAGAAAATTCTTTATCAACATATGGTGGCATAATCTATGCAGCTTTATTCAAAAAGATTCTCATAAATGAATGCACAGTGACAGATGTTAGATCTGGAGAAGGAGTTTTCATTTACTCTATAAGCTAAGAAGATGTTATAAATATCACTAATAGCATTTTTAAGTGCTCCTCTGACAAATTAGATGAATTCGAGATAAAATAGTTTGTTAGTAATGGTGAGAATGATTATGACGGTGGTTTTTCCATCTTTTACGGAAAAGTATTAACAGAAAATAATATCTATAGTAACTGCCATAAATCATATAGTGGAGCACTTTTTAAGTTATAAGAGTCTTAGCTTATCGACAAATCATCAAGATATTTATGTAAGCACTTCCTTTCCTTGATTAATTTTGCTTTAGCTAATTCTGCTTTCTATGGAGCAGCTATCTAAGCTTCAGGCAATGCTGCTAAGATATAAATAGAAAGTTCTATTTTCTCAGAAAACTACGCATACAATGGAGGTGCTATAAAATTAGAGAATTATGCATCAATTTCTGTTGTTGACTGTCTTTTCTAAGATAATTATGCTAAGAATAGTGGAGGAGTATTTCTAATATAATCAGGCTCTATTATTAATGTAGAAAATTCTAGATTTATAACTAATTCAGCTACCGAAGCCTCCGTGCTAAGTATGATTGACTCTGTAAGTTTAATTAAATTTGAAGTTAATGTTCTATAGATTGGAGGATCGATGATCTCTAATTCTGTGATGTCGATGAATTAGGCTACAAAAGCAACTTTATCTTTCATGAATTCTTAAGATATTCAAATCTACAACACAATTTTCAAATAAAATAAGGCAAAAACTTATTCGAAGAATTTGTTTATGGTTAGCTCAAAAGTTAGCATGATTTAATGTTCTTTCTCTGATTTATATGACAAAATTTTGCTTTAAAGAAGAGATGCTGCAAAATATAAAATAAAAGGAGGCTATGCTTACTTGACAATGGATTCTTTCTTGAGTATTGATGACTCTGTATTTTCATATGGATTTGCTTAATATGGAGGAGCAATTTTCGTTTAAGGTGATTCAAATTTAACAATAAGTAACTCAAGGTTTTTAAATAATTTTGCATTATTTGGAGGAGGATCTATATATGCAAATTCATTTTCAAGGATTACTCTAGATAGAATTTACATGAGTAATAGTTAATCTGATTCTTATGGGGCTGATATTTTCGCAGCTGATTCTACATTGGGCTTAGAATTGAATAACACTCAAATTTCTAACTTGATTTCTTCAACTTCAATTTATATGAGAGATCTTAACTTCTATTCTAATAATTTAACCATTGAAAGTAATTAAGTATTTTTTGAGAGATTTTAGGAAGCCATAATGTCATAGTACCTGATCAAGGTGGAGCAATATTTTGCTATGATTGTGGATATTTTTGGACATATAAATTAACTATCAAAGATGCTATTGCAAAATAAGGAGGGGGAATTTATCTTTAAGAAACTGAGGCATTTAAACTTACTTTACCATATAAAAAATAATAATATACTAAAGTAAATACTTTCCTTAACTTATTTATAAAGTTTGAAAGCGGTTATTTTTATAATTGTAAATCATCAGTTGGAAATGGTGGAGCTATTTTCATCAATAACGAATACTCCATGATAGTGACTTCATCGACTTTCTAATCAAACTATGCGACAATGCGAGGAGCAGGAATGTATTTTGAATGCCAAGATTCTTTTAACTGCAGTACAACTTTTTCAAGAACAAATACATTTGAAAGTAATTATGCAAATCACTCAGGTGGCGCATATTTTTGGAATGATGTTAAACCAATAGTGGCAGCTGGGGCAAAATTTACATTCAAAAATAATAAAGGACTTTTCTATGGAGATAACATCGGTAGCTATGCATAAAAGATAGTTTACTTGGCTGATAGTGTATATGAATAACAATTATAGAGAGCGAATCCAAATTACAACTCTACAAAGAGATAACTAGCTGATGTTGTTACGTAAGGATCAAGCTATGGAGTTTAAAACAGTGCAAAAAGTGGAGGATAATTACCCGTAATGTATATGGGACTTGCAGATGAGGATGGTCAGATTGTTGGCACTGAGAATAGTAAAAAGTTAACAGTATCATTAAAAGCTGTTACAAGTAATTCATCAAATGCTCTAAAATATGCACCTGCGATTACAGGAATCAGCACTTTCTATTCAGAGTTTGGAGTTTTTAAACTATCAAATATCACATTTACAGGATCACCAGGATACTAATACGCCTTATCATTTGTTTCAGATGGAATTGATAAGAGCAAACCTTAAAATTAAGAAAATATTTAGGAATAAGCATAATCTGCTGCTAGCAGCTCTTCTACAACAGATATTTCAAAAGTAGAGTTAGACTACACACTCTCAATAACACTAAGGGAATGCGCAATAGGTGAGAGATTCACTGATAATGGAGGGTAAATATAATCCTGTAAATTGTATATATAGTTGTGAGACCTGCCCTGAAGGAAAAACCTTTTCACTTTCAGCCATGAAAGAACCAGGTCAATGTAAATCTTGTCCTTCAACAAGAGCTGTATGCTTAGGAGGTTCAAATATTGGTCCTAGATAAGGATATTGGAGAAAAAGTAATGAATCAACTAACTTTATTGCTTGCTTCAATGAAAAAGCTTGCTTGTAAGAATTATAAGAATATTAAACAAATTAAAATAGAGGCATGATTGCACCTGAATACAATCCCTAAGGATCTTGTATAACAGGATATGCAGGTGCTCTTTGTACAGATTGCCAAGCAGGCTACTCAAGATCTTCAGCGTTTGAATGCGGAAAATGCCCTGAATATACTCAAAATTTTTTCAGAATAATCTTTATTGGTATTGGAATGGCTATTGTGGTAGTATTCATGATTAGAAGTACTTTGAAGGGAGCTGGAGATCTGAAGAGTATAACCAGTGTATTTTAGAAAATTCTGTTGAATCATATTCAAGTTATTGCACTCACAGCGTCTTTTGACTTTAGCTGGCCACAAATTATCATTGAGTATTTCGAAGCTAACGAAACTGTTGGAGAAGCATCAAACTAGATATTTTCAGTAGATTGTTTCTTAAATAGTGATCAAGGTTATGGCACACAATAAAATTAAAGAGACTAAAAGGGGTAGTAAAGCTTCCCAATAAGAATTTACTTCTTTAAACTACTCCTATTTGCCTTGCTTCCATTCCTTTTAGTTACTATTTGCTACATAGTTTGGGTAATCATTTTGAGAAAAGAGCCTGATAAGGAAATATTGCTAAATAAATCAACTTCATCTGTTGTCATTTTACTCTTCTTAGTGCATCCAAATATTGTTCAGATAGTATTTAATGCTTTCAAGTAAGCCTTATTTTTCAGTATTTATCATTCTTTTTTAGTTGTGTTGACATTGATGGAGAATCAAGAATGAAAAATGATCTTGAAATTTACTGTTACTAAAATGATCATTCGTTCTTTACCATAGCGGTAGCCTTACCAGCTTTAATTGTGTGGGGACTTGGAATACCTTTGTTTGCACTTATACTACTAATTAGAGCAGAGGATGACCTGTAAAGTAAGAAAATCAGGGAAAAATTTGGATTTTTATTCAGAGGATACAAGAAAAAATTCTTCTATTGGGAAGTAGTGATTACATACAGAAAAATATTCCTGATTTTCATTCAAGTATTTATGGCTTAGTATGGATTTGTGACTCAAGCCATGCTAGTTCTTTTAATGCTTATTTTCTTTATGAGCGTGAATATGACGAGGAAGCCTTTCTAAACCACTGCATTAAACGAATTAGAAACTCTATCTTTGATTACATCATTAATGACTGTGTTTTGTGGCATCTTTTTCCTAGTTTCAGTTGAAACTGTTGATATCACAACTGGTGAAGTTACTGGAAGTGGATAAGGTAATTTTATTTACATTTTTCTAATCTCTATCTTATAGTTGATCTCAATGAATCTAATAAGCTCCTGCTATTCTTTGTTATTCTTTTGTCTAATATTGCATTCTTCGGTTATTGGATAATAAAGTTTTTAGTTGAATTACAGCATGTATTCCTAAAAACCTAGCCTAAGCTATATACATTTTTATTCTTGTGTGGAGACCATAAAAAGTATAACTTAAGATTATCGAGAGCAATGATGGAGGAGGAGAATGAATTAAGAAAAGAAAAATACACTGATTAACTTAAGATTTTAGAAAACTTAGTAGAGACTGGAGAATTATATTTAGACGAAAGCTCTGTTAACAAAGCTGTTAATTATTTGAAAAAGGAAAAGGTATTATAAGCAGCAGGTATAATTTAGGAAACTGAGGAACAAAGGCTTGCTAAGATGAGGAGACTTAAAAGAAAACTCTAAGACCTTAAGAATAATAGAGAGTTCTAAGATCCTGAGAAAGCTGAGAAGAAAGCAAAATATAAGTTAAGCTTGGGTGATGAGGATGAAGAAACTGAAAATGACTAAAGCAGCTAACATGATATGATTCCAATTTAAGCAGAAAATGTAGATTCTTCATAAGCTTCGAATGAATTAAAGGAAAAGCCAAAAATTATGACATAGATTGAAAAGCTAGGATTTTTCGAAGATGCAATTAAGATTAGTGCTGAAAGCTAATAGTTATTACAAATCAGACCATAATCCTCCTTAAAGAAAATTAAGGCCTAAGATGATACCAAGCTCCTCATACCAGTCAAGGCAAAGAAAAGCTAAGCTATTCCTAAGGATAAATAATTATTGGAAGATGAAAATGACCTGATACAAAAATTCTAATCTGGGTTCGGTTTATAAAAGTAGGATTCCCTTGACGATATCATAACCTAAGTTTATGGTTAGAATACAGAAATGAAACTGTCAGGGATTGTTGGAGAAGTGGCCCAAACATTTCAAAGGAAAAATAGAAGGAAAAACCATAAAAAAGATAATCTTGCTGAGTAATTGCATGTTGACTTGTTTGAAACAGTTAATACTCATGTATCCACTGATAGAGGGGATGATGACGAAGTTTTGCATGACTTTATAAAGAAAGACATTTCTTAAAAGATTAAGGAAGGCTTAACTAAAAAAATTCATAAACTACAGACCGAAAATAAGAAGATTTAGATGATCTAGAAAAAGGTTAATCTATATGACATTACAACTAAAGTAGATGAGAGCATGATAGAGAGACTAAAGGAAACTGAAGTTAAGAAAGATAAGAATGGCAAAGAAAGATACAGAAAGATTCGTAGTGATAATTAAGTACTAGAGAATCTAGTGGGAGTAAGGTTTGTAAAGTAAATTTAGCAGATCACAAAACCTATCAAATCTCAAAGTGAGAGGAAAGATTTGGATTAATCAGTTGAAATTGGTATTAGTGGTGATGATGAAAATTTGATTGTTGGTAGATAGGAAATATATGAATCTGAAGAAGAATAAGAGAATTATTTTAATAGAACAAATCCAGATAATTTCAAGATTATACCGCTTACACCAGAGGATTTGGAGGATTATTGAAATTTATGGTTGATTTTCAAATTTGATTTATTAACATTTGAATATTGTTTAAATGCTCAAGATAATCTACACATGGGGTTTTGGGGTTTTGGGGTTTTGGGG